ATCTAAATCCCAGTAACAAGTAACGCGTTCCCGGTTTTGGCATAATAACTAGTTACCGTGCTCGTTACCACAATAATAACGTAGTTACTGTAACGCGTTACTTAATAACGCGTTAGTCCCAACACTGATCATCACAGATGTGCAGCTGATAAACTTGCAGCACCTGTGTGATTCTATCACATCAATATGGACCACAATCTCTGAGGAATGTTTCCTCCACTCAATTCCAGTTGAATTTCTTTTAAAAATTAAGACAGTGTGAAGACAAAGGGGTGTTCAACCTAGCAAAATGTACCTAATAAAGTAGCTAGTGAGTGTAGTTGGACTAAATCTGGGTCAAACAGCTCTTCTAGACACCCATGGGTTCCTTTTAACTCAAGTGACATGCCAGATGGGTGGCAGTAAAAGAAGAAAAGAATGGAGGGGGGAGAAAACTAATGACTTCATCTACTATGTAACAAACACCATCCGTCTGGCATCCCGAGATAATCTAACAAACTAAAATGCTCCAGAATGGTTTTTAAGCAGGTTGGATGCTTGAGATTTCAGCATATGCACACTGCAAAAAAACATATTCATTCAACATTCAGTGCTGTGATTGAATGATATTCATTAAGAAGAACACTGCAGGGACCTGCTGATTAACAATCTCCTCATACACCCAGTCTACTGAACCTCTCAATGTCTACAATTTGCCACCAACTCTGTCTATTTTGTAAGCCACAGACCTGTAATTATCTTTGAAATGTAATTGTGTTTACGTTTTCAAACAAACATCCCATTAAGTGTCACTTTTGAATCTGTTTTTCTGAAGAATATTTCAATGTGCTGTTTTTTACACTATTTTATAAAGTGTTTTATTATATCCTCTCTGCTGGAATAGAATTTGTATGATGAATGTGAGCGTTCGAAGAGGCGTGACAAACAGAAAAACTCTCTCTCAGACACACACACATATGCGTGCAATAATTGAGCTGTCTTTATCTAGCAATGCTGTCCTTCAGAGCATCCAAAGCTTTCAAGGACAAAGTGACCCTCCCAACCTCTGCTCTGTGCAGCAAAGTGGGTGGGTGGGCGTAGGAGGAGAGGTACGCAGCTGCTCTTTCTGCTTATTACGGGGGGATGGATATAGCAGCTAGATAAGCTGTGCGCGCACGCACTACACACACACACACACAGTAGCAACCCACACTCTCAAGGCTGCAGCTGCAAGAAGGAATCCAAGACCATCTCATTGATATGGATACACTGCCTCCTACATGCCAACATTCAAAGTTAGGGTGCAATTATACACTTTCACCACCAGGTGATGCTACTGGGGCTAGATTTCTGGTGAGTTTACCTCCATCTGTGTGCACAAAAGTCCAAATAAAATCACCAGTCTCAATAGATCCTACAAATTTTGCTCGATGTTGTCTTACGACAAAAATAAATAATCAATCATTTTTTCCTAATTTGCTTTTTTTTTAAATAACTTTTTATTTCTACATAATTTTCATAAAAGATTATATCAAGTCCTGCATGAAGATTAATGCTCATCAGACAGCTACCTGTCCCCTACATACACTGTATGTCTTCTTCATTTTTATATCATATCATATAATTTTTAGTAAGTAAAAGATAAATAATTTTAATGCATTTGCACTCAAATTTATGTGCACTAAAAAAA